CCAAGTCATATCAGAAAGGGGTCCTTCTGGTGGAGAGACACCCTCAAATTGTTGCCTGATCTCAAGACTATTGCCAGACCACAGGTGAGAAGTGGAGAAAGCTCTGTTTTCTAGCATGACAGATGGGACAATCAACCCCTTGCAACAGTTGCCCCTGAGCTCTTCTCCTTTGCCAAAAATAAGCAGATTTCAGTTTGTAAGGCTTTCAACGAAGCAGATTTTACAAAACTTTTTCAGCTACCTCTGTCACAGCAGGCTTTCCTTCAAATGCAAGAGGTTCAGCAGAAAATACATCTCCACCCCCTCAGCGAAGGGAATGATAGATGGATATATTCTTGGGATCCAATATTTTTGCATCTGCCAAAGTCTACAGAATCCTAGTTGGCCATGCAAACGTTCACATCATTTTTAAATGGCTGTGGAAGGGCCAGTGTCAGCCCAAACATAAAGTGTTCTTTTGGCTTTTGATCAAGGATAGACTAAGTACCAGAAACATTCTAAGAAGAAGAAACATGCATCCAGACTCTTATAATTGTGCATTGTGCAATATGCTAGTGGAGGAATCTACCTTTCACCTCTTCCTGGATTGCTCTTTTGCAAGGATGTGCTGGGATATTCTGAACATTGACATACCCTTAAATGATGACTTCCCAGATTTAGCTGTTGAGCTAAAAGCACAGTTAAACACCCAGTTCTTCATGGAGGCAATCATACTTTTGTGTTGGATCATTTGGACAGCAAGAAATGAGCTCATATTTAAAGGAAATAGCCTGAATTTGGTAGGCTGTCAAAGGATTCTTTTCAGTGAGTTGAATCTTCTGAAGCACAGGATAAAGGCAAATCAACAAGAACAGTTTCCCTCATGGATTCAGAATCTTGAATAAGCTGTTGGCTGATCTTTATTTTCTCTCTCTTTTTTTTCTCCTGATTTAGCTGTTTCCTTCCTTCCCCCACTTTGTTCAATTCTGCTTGTACTGAACTCTTTGTTTGCTTCCTCTTTTTTTTTTTTAAATAAATAAATTCCTGTAGGGGCCTTGGCCCCTCCAGTTTTGTAAAAAAAAACTCGATTCTTCTCCCTCTTTGTTAAAACATTACCAAGTGATAAAAAATGCGCTTACTTGGCATACCATTAAATGCAAATGAAATTATCATGAAACTTTCACTGAGATTGATCTTGGTTTTATATCCCGGTCTTCAAGATTGTCTTGTGTTTAGAAACCGTGTCGACAAGTTCCATCCCCTAAAACTTATTTTGATTATATAAAATTTTTATCATCTTTCTTCATGTATACTATATATCATATTAATTATTCAATCTCATAAAACTTCTATGAACCAATAGACTGTGACTGGCCTTATAGCCGTGTACCGATAACCGATTAGCCGTGTACACATCGATCACATGTAGGGGAGCAGTAAAGTTTGAAACGTCACACAATGGAAAATAAAGTAGATTGCACGCAAGCACCAGCCCTCTCTCTCTCTCTCTCTCTCTCTCTCTCTCTCTCTCTCTCTCCGAGGAACGATTGACCAGTCCATTTCCCTTCATCCTTCGAGTCTGTTGGACTATCGAGGACAAGCAGCAACCAAACACAACATGTGCGCGCACACAGCTAGCTAGTACATGAGGGCGGAATCAAAGTCTGGAGCATTAAAGTGGTGTGCAAATATGAGGGCGCACACGGCCCCAAACACATTGCTACAAATGCCAATGGTGATATATATATACGTACTGCAGACTCCTACACAGCGAGCGAGCGAAGACGATTTCGAACGATTAAGGGCTCGTTCGTTTTCAGCAAAATGACACCCGGAATCATTCCAGCTAACGAAAACTTATATAAATTGACTAATGATTCCGGCCAGAAATGCTTCCTGGGGTGATTCCCAGGAAAACGAACGGGGCCTAAAGCGATCCGACAGATAAAACAAGACACTAACTAGCTGTATATGTCCGGCAGCCTAGAATAGAGGGGCAAATAACAAAGGCCTTATTGGCAGTGGCGGAGGAGCTTGAAATCTCAATGGTAGTCGAAGTCGCCGGCTTTAATTCCAAATTTATCCAACATGGCAGAGAGGGAGGACAAAAAAAAAAAACCCCCTTCTCGCTAGCGATCAACAAAGCACTAGTCTCGCTCAACTAATCTCATGTAAACGCATGTTCGCTAAATCAAAATAGAAAAAAGGCAATTACTTATTAAACACGTAGTTGAGTGCTCCGCCGTTGTTCCTTCGTATCTTGACCGAGTCCAAGAAACACCGCCAGTTCCGCGTTTCTAGGACTGTACCGCGAGCACCCTTACGTTTCTTTTTGTTTATTTATCTTGTCCCCTTATGTTTCTGTTGTTTATTTTATCTTGCCTCACGTATGCTGGCGATTTGGATCGACCACTGCGGACGCCCTTAGTAGAGGCCAACGATGAAAAAGCCAAACCAAATGTAGCAATTTAATGGTTTATTCACCGATCGACAAAATGTTTTACCAAACCAAATGTAGCAATGACTACCATCTACCAAGATGCTATGAATGGTTGATGGTTGCCGGATGATCCATGCATAGAACTAGGATCAGTTCTATACTTTTATTTTAGTTTCTCTGTTTACCTAATGGTGCTATTTTTCTTTTGCAAAATCTTAAAATACTCTTTCCCTCTTTGATTCATATTCAATAGCAGTATAGGATCAGTTCACCATGTCACCCAAGATGCTGGCAGAGTAGGATCAGTTCTATACATTACAGAGGAATGCTTTATAGGATATAGCACCAAAACTAGTCCGCTTTATAGGATGTTCCGGTGTTCAATTCATGATCATCTCCTTACAGCAATGGCAAATTAAAGCAGGCACAGTGCTACCACCACACTTGCAAATGAAAGTAAGTCATTCCACTTTGGTTCCAGAAGAATTGAAGTGAGTCTTAAAATTAGCTCAGTGCCTGCCAGAGGTTGCTAGGAACCAATAAGTACCCTCGTCAAGCTTTTTTGTCTGCATAAGGGCAAGGTACATCTTGCTTTATTTTAGCTACTATAAAAAAGAAAGAGTCATTCATCAATCTAAAAAAATGAAGTTTAACTTAAGGTGCCCAAGTCAAGCTTTTTTGTCTGCATAAGGGCAAGGTACATCTTGCTTTATTTTAGCTACTATAAAAAAGAGTCATTCATCAATCTAAAAAAATGAAGTTTACTTAAGGTGCCCAAGAATTAATGGAAACTCCCCCTGTTACTAAATCTAGCGCCATGCCAATCTTTTGAACCAACTTTGAGTCTGACGATCATGACAAAAACAGTAGGGTTAACATCCGGAGATCCGGACTCCTGAATGGTTTGCTGATTACTGAAGGGCTTGTGGAGGTATCTAATTTCTGCTAGACACTCGTTTGCAGCAGCCTGCTTTAGTGTTGATCCGTGCTTCTCTGAATATTGTTCCTTTTTAAGGTCGTAGACGTGCGTTGTTCTTCTGATCATTTGGCCTTGAACTTCAGTGTATTTTGATTATTACACTGCTGAAACATTAGAGCCATTTGTGTTAAATTTGGTTGCCAAAAGTTTAATCACTGGTGACCAGCAACTCCGGGTAACATATTGCACTTGCAAAAGCTAAAGAGACATGTGGTTCAAGACCTGAGATATGTAGGAGATGCAGAAACAAGGGGCACCGTACATTTGCCAGACAGCCAGGGTGAACCAAACTGTGGTTTTATTTTTGTAGTTACTTCACAATAGTAGTATTAATATTTGTAATAAAGTAGTATTAATATCTATGCCTTAGTTTATCATAAGGCTGATAAAGTAGAACAGGACCACAGAAATGCCAAGAAGCCTCTTTCTTTCATCGGAGAAAGAGGCTTCTACTCGGGCAGCTCAAAACAACTTCTGGGAACCCTTCATATTTTGATGAAGGATGTGTGACAGTATGCCATTTAAGATGCATGTGCTTCAGATAACACTTCCAGCCAACATACCAATGGTCAACTTTCAAAAACTGTGATTATCGTCCTTGCGGGAGTACAATTTTCTGGAGCTAAAGGAAAGTTCAATCGGTTGGAAGAGTCAAATAGAAACCGTGCGTTGGAAACCACAAGCAGTACACGAGTGCTAAACAAAGATCGTGTTCAAATGGTAAACATGTATAGGACGAACAATATATAGTCGAAGATCTATTTGGTCATTATTTCAACTGAGGTTACTCTGTTTGACTAGGAACTGTGACTGAATCGGATTGCTCTGAATAGGTTATTCAGCAATCATTCAGTCAGTTATTCAGTCAAAGTTATTTCCCTGCTATGGATAATATTCAGAGCAAATCAAACAACATGTAGCTTAAGTAGGAATTATCCATAGCAGGGACTGGTATTTGAAGTCAATCTCCTAGGAGACAAATGCTAATTCCATAATTACCTTGGCCCAGCAAAAGTACGTCGCGTGACAGAAGCAATTGCACATCTGGCAGATTGTTTGAACACTCATACTAATTGCAGTCTAATCAAGAGATCCAGGCTCCAAAGAAGTACCTCCCTCTTCTAAATATATGGCCCAAATCTTGCACACCTAATTGTAATATGGTTCGTTCTTAGCATAAACGAGACAAAAAAGATCACTACTCATAAGAACAAAACTTTGATCAATGATCAGGACAGGCAGATGGCCATCTCCACCACAGTAATACATGGGAATATTCACATCTCATGTCAACTTCATTCGACATGTATATTCAACCACAGAAACAATGATCCAGGGGCCAGATTTACATATAACAAGATGAAAACGCACGGCATTTTGAAGTAGGAAGACGATAGGTTGAGTACAACTAATACTTCTTTAATAGCAGCAGCATCTCGTGTTGTTATCTACATGTCATCAACTAGGATCGAAACTTTACTAGCAGTAACATCTCATATTATCCGAGTGTCATCAACTGGTAAAATGAAAATACAAGCGACAGCATTCCGTAGGATATTTCTTTTTCAAGAAACTACTATACGACTATCAGGTGGCCATGCCTTAGTAGAACCTCCCACGGCACTGTGAAGAACCACATCGACAAACTTTGCATTTCATTCTTCTATTCACACCTCGGAAACGATCTATTTCAGAGTTATTATAGTCATAAGTCAGCTCCTGTAGTGGTGGAATCGTCTCTGCAGCAAAGAACATAATATGCGGCATCCTTTTGTCATCATGGTCCCGAAGAACATTTTGTGCTTGAAGATTAGGTGAATAGCTGTGGTTGATGAACCTTCCAATATTTCCATACTCAGATGCATCTATAGTGAAATGCACATCTTCCTTGGTCTGGGAGCAAGAGCTAGAGTTCAAACCTGAAACATTTGATAGCAACCCACTGCTAATATTCTCATCATCATAGTTAAGGCCTACATCAAACAAGTAACTGTTGTTCCTTCTCTTGTCAGCCTCCTTTTGATGCAGCAGCTCACCAATATACTCACATATGAAGCTGCCAGAAGGAATGGACCTTAGAGATCTTACGCCCCAACCAGTCTTGGTTGTCCTGAATACTTCCAGTGGTATTTTCATATCATGCTGACTGACCCTGTTATGGCATGAAGGAGGACATTTACAAGATGGACCGCACTCAAATATCACGGACTTCTCATTGAGAATTGCGCCATTTAAGTCAAATGGGATTTCCCCTCCATTCTTCACAGCACAGGCACAGCTCACAGAGTCTGAGCAACCATTGGTGCAGTCACAACCCTGATGTTTTTCTGTAAGCCTAAATGGATATCTAATTCTAGTGGTGTATTGGAAAGGTGCAGGTCGCACATCATCAACTGTATTAATGACACAAATGGGAGTTGCTTCCTTCCCTTGAGATATATCATTCATGCACAGGCTTGGACGGCTTTTGTAGCTCTTCAATCTTTTAGCTATGTGCATAGGAAGTTCTAGTTTGCCCAGGAATCTTTTTTAACCTGTACTTAAACACCCTTGAACCTGGTTGACCATCCATCCAGAAATCCACCACTAAATACAATCCATCATAAGTGTATCTTGAGACTAGTTTGGCCCCCAAATGACTGCCTCTCTCGGTATTCCGACACTTAAATCCATGAATCACTCTTACAGGAGTCTCTGTTTTGATGCAGTTCTTTAGTGCAAGGTTTCCACACTTAAGCTTTTGATCCTCGTCTTTCTTCTTACCAGCAGGCTTCCCACCAGAACCAGTGTATATCAGTTCACCTGAGCAACCCAATTCATCAGGATAACCTCCAGAAGCAACAATGCTTATTGCAATAAGCATGCCATTTCTATATGTGGTGGTGTCAATGCCTTTCCGGTAATGATGATGTAGACCAGCAATCGCAAGCTGAGATCTGTATAGAAACTCATCACCAACTTCAACTCCAGGAACTTGTCCCACAATAGGACCATGTTTGGTAAAACCTGGTAATTTCTTCTTCATTACTTCAGCAGCTAGAAAGTCAATTCTCATCTTCAATGAACGCTGCTCCATAATTTGTACTAGAGTCCGGCATACAAACTCAAACATCCTGCACAACATTTTAAATCTGCTCCTAGCATCTGCATTCCTGTGTCTATATTGCCTTTGACACCTCACAGAGGGAAGACCCGATGAACTATTGAGATAAAGTTCAAGCTTTCTTTCACGAAACTTTATGTCCCTAAATATGTCATGAAGTTTCAAGTTGGAAGCCACCTCATCATCCAGTTTGCCCTTACTACCCGATACAGATGTCGAGGCAATCTTCCTCTGTTGATGACCTAGAGCTTTTGGCTTCACCATCCTTGTGTGACCAAAGAAATCCCTAGTTGCAGCGGCCTTCTTTTTGTGTGTCATGGGGCACATGTCTGGAGACATGGGAGCTTTAACTCGATCCTTAGTGAGCTCAACAGAATCCTGAATCCCATTTGTGGTTACCTGCCTTCCACATACAGTTTCCTTCTTGTCTCTGGAAAATGGTAAATGCTGAGTATCCAGTACAGATTTCTGAACCACTTTGGCTGGCTTGGCTGTGTTTTGATTTGTAAGCATGTCCTTACTTCTCAACACATTGCCTTCACCAGACACTCTTGCTGCAACATTAGAAGATGTCCTCCTGTTCATCCTACCACTTTCAAATACTATCTTACGCATCAGGGTTTTTTTGGAAGAATCCTTAGCCAAAGATGCAGCAACACTGTTGTATCTGTAGGAACTCCCACCATATTCGTTCATCACCTTGACATCTTCTGCTAGTGCCCATGTGTTCCTCCCAAAGTTCCCACTTACACCAGGGGAATCTCTTGCAGAAACATCCCTATAAGCTGCAGAATCAAGCAGAGCAGCATTGGAAGAAACCTGATATCCCCCAGACTCCTTGGAGGGAACCTCTCCTTTCTCTAATTTGTCATCCTGTGCCTGTACTTCTCCAGCACGTCCATCAGCCAAAGAACTATGATCATCTATAGTCAACATCTCCTCTGGCACAACCGATTCCAATGGTCGATGCACCTTGCTACTGAATCCGCCATCCTTTCCACGGCTAGGTTGCAAGGCGCGTGTGGCAGATATGACATCTGGCTTTGGTGGCAATCGTGTGGCTGTCACCGGCACCTTCTTCCCCCACAGTTCTTCATTCCCTGCTCCCCTTCCCCTGTCCTGTGCACCAGATGATTTCACCATCCCAGCCTTTGGACCATAACGACCTGTATTCGCCATTGGAGCAGCACCATCCTTGGCATACGGCTTCTTCAGAACCCTCGAACCAGCAGCATTGGGGGGCACCGCTCTCGACAGCACACCAGCACCATCCTTGCGGGCCACGAGCGGACGAGCAACTGCCGGCTTCTCGAATGCACCAGAACCTCTGTTCTCGCGTTCCCCTTCGTACCGTGTCCGCGAACCTGCGTCGGCGTCTGCACCAGCGAGCGGAGCAGGAGCAGCCGCGGTCCACCTGGAGGCGGGTGGTGGGAACTGCCCACTCCCGAAGACCGCCCTCCGCTTGGGCGGTGGGAGCTGCGCGGGCGGAGCAGACGGGCGCTTGCTCCCCACACCACCACCACCTCGTCCGCCGCCGCCACTCTCCTCCCGCGATGGTGGCGCCGCCTCACCAACCGCGGCGACAGTCGCAGCATTCCGTCCCGCAGGGTCCGCGCTGGCACGCACCGCCACCTCGCGGTCCGCCACGCCGCCGCCGCGCCTCGTGTACCGCCCGCGCGCCACCTCTCCCGCGTTCCCACGCCCTCCCGCGCCGCTGCTGCCGCCCTCGCCTCGACGACCATTATCGGCGGCGCCATGAGGAGGACGCTGAAGCGGAGGCGGCGGGCGAGGCGGAAAGACACGGCGGTCGCCTGCGCGCTGGGTCCGCGCGCGGTGGACGTTGCCCCCGGTCCCCGGAGGCCGTGGCGCGTCGGGCATGACCTGGCACACAAGCACGAAACGAAAGCGCACGAGACCATCAATCGCCATTCACAGAGCAACACCACCGCAGAAAAGCCAGACTGCCAGAGAAAAACGAAGGCGGAGGCGAGGCGCCACACGGAGGGAGGAATGAAGCACACGGGCGGGCTCGCTCACCTCTGGGCCGTCGACCAACGGCGGCGTTGACGATGTGGAGGAGGCGGAGAATGGAGGAGCGCGCAGCCGACGAGGACACCAGGTTGAGGGAGGAGGGGCAGAGAGGCGGTTGGGATTTTGGGTTTTGGAGATGTTGGGGGCGAACCGGCGAAGCGACGCGTGCCTGAGAAGGAGGGGGAGGAGCAGGTGGGGCCGTGGGGACGTGGGGTCGTGGGGCCGGGCCCTGGCTCGCCCCACGAGGACTGGCGGACTGGGCGACGTTAGTGCATGTGGGGCCCTGACACACGGCGCGACCTGTCCGGCGTGCCGCTTGCGATTTGCGAGCCCGAGCCTGAGCCTCAGCCGCTCTTCTTCCCTCACCCACCCCCAAAAGGCCCGTGCTGATTTATCGAGAGATTATGATTGATAAATCGGTTAGTTTATAAGCTGGTTTATATAAACAGTCGAACAGGACAAAATTTGTTGTGAAAGTCCTATTGGTTTGTCTGATAAGCCGTGATTAAAAATATTATTGACTGATTTGTTGTGAGAGAAAAATATTATTCGTTAGTTGAAAAAAAAGTAGAGTTTATAAACCAGTGAACCGGACGAAAGTTGTGGAAGCTCTCAATTCCAGGCAAGGTTAAAATATTGCATGGCGGGCCCTTCATGCGTGTATCCCGTGCCATGTGATCCTGGCGTACAAACACATCACAAATGTGGGGAGTTGCCCTATGTGCCAAACGGAAGTAAAAGACATCAAGCATGCTTTGTTCTCGTGTAGCCGAGCAAGAGAGGTATGGAGCACCCTGGGTGTATGGAACCATATAGAGAGACTCCGGAGGGTTGACAGATTGGGCTCAATTGTGATCCAGGAACTTATCTGGAATGGAGGATTGGCAAGGGACCTCAATAATGTTGGCTTGGTTGAACTCATCCTCACATGTTGCTGGTATATTTGGTGGCAACGAAGGCAGTTAGTTCATGGGGAAGACATCCAAAATCCCCTAAGGTCGGCCATGTCAATAGCGTCAATTACAACAAATTATGCAGTTGCATCAAAGAAGGGGCATTGATCAATAATGGTTGGAAGAAGCCTTCAGAGGGTGTTCTAATGATTAACATAGGTGTTGCCTTCGACGAGACAGGAGCTGTTATCAAAGATTCATCGGGAGGATTTATTGTAGCTTCACATAGCTACATTTCACATGTGGTGCATGCGGCTATGGCAGAGATGTCGGCTTTGAGGGGTGGTCTTCTACTGGCTCATCGTCAGGCAAGGTTATCCTTAATTTGTGCAATCAACAAAGATAAGTTTCTCATAAATAGTCTCATACAGTGCCACGTAATCATGATGTTATTAAACAATCAACTTATATAGTGGGTTATCTTTTAAATTGCCTTAGTAATTCAATTATCCTTAATTTGTGCAATCAACAATAAGATGAAATATGTTGTTGTCTCATAATCCTAAATTTTTACTCATGAGTATCTCATCTCACTATAACACGACCTAGCTTTGCTGACACTTTTTAAAGTGGGCAAAGGATACCTTTCCCGACAGATAGCCTCCCACCAAAAGATTTGCCCACAGATTAGAAACAGTCATGGTAAAAACAGTCGGCAAAAGTTTTGCCGACAGTTATGGTGTAGCCAAATGGTATATTACGTCGACAGTTGAAACCTTTGCCCACAGTTAAGACCTATGCCGACAGCTAGACCCTTTCCCGATAGTTTGTATGTTGGCGAAACCATTTTCCAAGGCATTTTATGAAACATGCTCATAGTGGCAACTAAACTGTTGGCAAAATCTAAGGATATAATATATTTGATCCTCCATATACATAATACATCACATATCCACTTTTCTTTATTGAGAATACATCATATAGAGCAAATCATTTGATTTCATAGATATAATATATTTGATCTTTCATACATACATCAATTGGATATATAGCAAGTGATGATCATGGTACATAGAGCCATCATGCATATACAGGTCCAGGATATAGATGAGCTAGTAGCAGACATACATGGACATATACTAAAAGTCTTGTGCTAAATGATTATGGCTAAAGCTCAGACATCAAATGATCTTGACTTGGGCACAAAAGTGTCATTCAGCACAAGTGTTTGGCCTACATGATAATAGGCACAGAACAAAAGAACAAGGAAGCAAGTCATGTCTTGTTGCATTATTCTTGGACACTTCAGAAGACTCCCTTGCTTGATGCACAAGTGTGGTGTACCACTCTTCTGCATCCCAGCTACGATCTGCAACTAGAATAAATGCAAGAAAAAGTGAATAAGTTTGGCAATCAGTAAGTTGAAATGCCATGTTTACGGAGCTCTGATCTGCAATGCTCACATTTGGTCTATGCCTCAGGATCTGCACAGAGGCACTGGGAGGCCTCGCTCCAATCTACTTTAGTTCTAACACCTCGTGCAGCGTGTACTCCTTGAACTGCTAGATGGAGTTCTTAGTGAAATAGAGAATGTCAATAATGTTTTCACAAGACAAGGCTCGGTGTAATGGAAAACAATAATTCTGCATCCATGATGAAAGGTTTCAGTTCCTGGGCCCTCAACAAGCAAGCTACAAATATATGCATATGAATTTCTTACTCTGAACATAACTGAAACAAACCAATCCCGCTGGAAGCAAAATGAATACACTTTTAGCTTGGGTGGGACAACAGATTTTGTATAAGAACTTAGTAGCTACTAAGATGAGTGGATCTATTTGTTTAAGGACTTAGTAACCACTTAGAATGTCTGATTGGTGAACCATACCGTGATAAACTGACGATGAGCATAAGTTCTGAAAAAGGAAACAGTCATTTGATTGATCTGAATAGCTATATGTGAGCATAAGACACTTCACACAATTTATAATCCTCTTCCATCATGTAATGATTTTGAAACAAAATCTTAGAAGACAGGAGTGAGAAATATGAGAACGTGTCTATTTGCAGTTATTCATTTCCGAAACAACAGTTCTAAAAAAAGCAAGGGAAACTTGAATATTTCAGCAGCAGACCCAAATCAACTACGGGTTTGACGAAACAAGAAAAAAATTGTAATCTTCAATACATGATGGTGTAATTTTATCACATAACTTCTCTATGAAATAACTATTAGTAAAAGGTCAATTTATAACATCATAATTGACAGACCAAATAACACTTTTTTATGAGCTTATAGAAATCTTGTGGGTGCCTGTACACATACCTTGCAGTAAAACTAGGACTTAAAACAAATTAACAGCTTGATTGAGAGGGCATGTCAGCAATAGAACACATGGGGAAAATGGAACATAATGGCAGCAGCTTAAAATCCTTGCTGCAGCGGAGATCTGAAACAAGAATTTAGTGGAAAATTAAAAAAAATGGTGGCAGAGTTGTGTTATATTAGACAACAAGATTTCGATGGTGACCTATGAAACAAGATTTAGGAACAGCACATACTGGGGAAGAATCTGAAAGACAAGGTCGCTACGTTGAAACCTATAGACCGAAAGCCACGCATCGACGTGCAAGGAAGACGAAGCGGCCCTTGCTGCGGAGATCCACGGGCAGTATCTTTAGCTTTCAGAGCATATCAGTTGCCTCCTTGTCCAGCTCCCGCCCCTGCTCTTTGCATGAATGATTAGCTCATATCTTTGAGCCTGCATGTTCAGAAAAGTGATCAAAATGTGGGCAAATAACAAACTGTTGTAGTGAGTCTGACATCCAAAAATATTATCAAAGAAAATTACTGTATTGATCCTTTGTACAAGAATGCCAGGATGAACTACACAAGTTCAATAGCTAACTTTATTGCTTACGCATGTATAGCACTACCTTAACAAGGCTATGTAAGCCTGGATGGTTCCTAATGCAGAATCAGGTATACTATTTTTCATGTGTAGTCAACCTATTAATCATAGGAACTCAATGGAAGACTCAATCTAAAGGAAAACCTAAATTCAGCCAAGTAACGATAGTAGTCACCTTCCCTACAACAGTCTTGGAGTCAAATCTAAAGCACGTAAGGAAAATATTGTAGGACAGGAGTACAATGTCAACATGCATGCGCTACGCTGGAAACATTATCAGTGAAATGATAGAGAATAAGACCTAATGTCAATAGATTTAGATTACCAGGGTCACACATAGACCATGTAAAATTCCTTGTATCATCCTACAGCGTCAGATACACAATGGACTGATCAAGAACTTCAGAACTACTGAAACACCATTCAATTGTCCAATGTTGATGTATCCAAAACAGTCATGGACAGGATAATGAGATACCAAGATAATCATGGTAATTATTTCTCAGAAATAAAGTAGGCTATTTAAAAATTTCACTATACTTACCATATAATGGAAACAATTTTGTAAGACTGAAAAACAGACTACACTCATATACAATGTCTTCCTCTCTCCCCCCACGTCACCATGAGACGGCCTTTGAGACTGCTGACACACTACTATAGAAAGTTTAATCACCGCCGGGACTTTCACCAACGGTTTTGAGACAAGCGGCGGTGGTAATTATCACCGCCGGCTTGCGGCCCAAGGGGCCCTTCTGGGTGGTCCACTGGCAGTGATAAACGTTTTCACCACCGGCCCGACATATGAGCCGGCGGTGAACGTAGTACCGGCCTTCTCCACTGCATCGTATGTCCTACTGGCGGTAGAATGTTTTAGCACCGTCGGCGATTTGTTTAATATGCGACGCAATAAGACGCTGGAGGAGATAAGAATTTTTCGCCGCCAGTTTTAAGATGGAAGGACACGCCACCATTAAATCCGGCGATGAAAGAAACTACCACCGTCAGTTCGCCTTATGATCCAGCGGTGGAAATCACAATGATTCGAAACAACACATCGCTCGCCATATCGGCGGTGATAAGACTTTTCACC